GACTGACACACAATTGCAAGTCTCAGTTACCTCAGCTTCTTCCGCAGGCTTTGGAATGTCTTTGACTTCCATCAGTACATCCATATCTACAAGCTCAGGTCAAGCTAAACCAGTTCATTGGCCACATTCACCCTGAAATGTACAAATTATTAGAAATGTACAAATCTTAAGATCTGCCAATTTAGGTACCCACTTTTTTTTCCCCTAGCTCTTAGATAGCCAAAACAGAATGATGACAGGCTCCAAAACATGTTATTTTAGACATTAGACAGTTCTATATCCTTTCCAGTTCAATTTCTGAGTTAGATTCTGCAGCATTATTTTCTTGGCCACCTAAGATAGCAGTATCAAACTCACCTTTGAGATTGTCTTCCCTGCTAATCAGCAAAATTATGCTGTTGAGTTGGGTCATGTAAACCAAATGAAATATTTTTTTCAGAGATAATACGTTGTTATAGTTTAGCAGTGGCCGGTAACAAAAGCGGCACGTGGCCGTCCCTCCCCCTGCTGGGGTGCGGAGGAGAATGGAAAGAAACAGGCAGAAACTGGTGGGTCGGGATAAGGGCAGTTTAACAGAACAGCAAACAAAGGGAACAGTAACAACAACGATACAGATAAGGAGAATACACAACACAAACAGCAGGAACGGACAGAGCCATTCTCACCGACTGTCGCCGCCGCGCGCTCCCAAGCCGCGACTGAGCTGTGACTGAGTTCCGGCTGCCCAGCTCCCCTGCCCCGCTGGAACCCAGCATGATGGCACATGGTATGGAATACCCTGTTCTGTTTGACCAGGTTGGCTCAGCCCGCCCGGCTGTGCCCCTTCCTGGATTCTCGTGTAAATAAACCCTGTCCTGGCTGAACCCAGGACATACGTTATCTGAGACAAACCATCCTTTCTTTCCTGGATGTCTTCATGTTAGAGATGGAGTAGAAAACTGATGACGCTTGCACTCTGCTGGTGTACCAAAAGTTAACAGCATGAAGAACCCACCCTTCAAAGCTATCTCCCTTCTTAGCGGGAGTGGAGAGGGAAGGGCCATGGAGAAAAGTTCCTGAAGTCCTATATGAGAATAGAGATGACCTAAGTGTGAGCTAAGGAAAATAGCAGCACCAGATTTGATATAAAACTACAGAAAATGAGAGGCAGGAATAAGGTCAAGGTAGTTATAAATATAGCTGGTTTTCCAGAAGGGGATCTTAAAGGGCACATTGTCAGAAGTGGAGCCAAAGAGTAGAGAAGAGACTTTTGTCTCAGTCAGAAATAATCCTGCAGCAATTTGAAGTGATGGATTTCAATTTGCACAATGTGACTGTCACGTTTAAAAGGTTAATGGAAAGGATACTTTCTGCAAGTCTCAGCTGGCATGTTGGTTATAGCTAGATGATACACTGGTGAACATGAAAGCGCTTGAACACGAACAGTTATGTTCACAAATGCCCTGTGAGAGCTTTAGTATTGCTGCACAGAGAGGAAAAAAACCAGAATCCTTGTTTCAGAAAAAGTAAGTTTTTTGTTAGTGAGAAGAAGAAATTCCACATACAGGATATTAATTTTGCAGGGAAAAAAAAAATCAGAGATCTCCAGATCTATGGAAGTCTTAACTGCTTTTTCTATTGTTGCTACGTGGACTGAGGTTGCTGGGGAAAGTAGAATCCCCCTCATGCATTTCAGTAGCAAGTAAGATGGGTCAGAGAAGCTATTGCTTGTGCTTGTCGAAAGTCAGAGAGCAGCTGAACTGAGCAGTGAAAGCGGGTTTGTGAGTATTCTGTGATCACAAGGAACTTTTAGCATGCTCCAAGGGAAAAGGGAAAAACAAATAACATTTTGAGTCATGTGTGAAAGGAATATAGTGCAAGAGAAACTGCTTCTTTTTGGATATATTCAGGGAAACAGAGCTTTGTAAATAATAGCCTTAAATAAAGACTACTGTTTAAAAAAAAAGTACCCCCTCAGTTTCTGCTCACGGGAGCCACCAGAGAGTTCTGCCTCACTGCTGTCATGCAGATAGACAAGACAGAATCACTTCATTTGATATGAAGTGTAAAAGATGGTGCTGTATGTTTGGGAAGGATAAGCACTTCCCATCTTTCTGTGGCTTCTCCGGGTACAGCATGCTATGGGCAGGTAATAGCAGCTCTGCCAGACCACCTTGAGATGCCTGACACACAATTGCTTTAGCATTTCTGCTGCTTGAGGAAAGAGGGTCTTCAGCTTTTGCTAAATGAGAGCTCTTTGCTTTTCCAGAGGACTTTGAAAGACTCAATCCATTTCAGCACAGAAGGCAAAGGAAATACTCCCCTTGACTTCAACGAGAGCTGGGCCTAAGCCCAAACAAGGGCTGATGAATGAGCTGAATCAGCTGCAAGTGTTCTCTGCTGTTGTGATTGCCATCTTTTATGTAGAGCTGAAAAGCAAAGGGGATTGGGTTTTTGTCCTCCTTTCACTACCTTCTGTATGCCTGCTTGAGAAGGCTCAAGCAGGACAGGTTTCACCCCAAATCTTTGCTCTTTGTTTCTTTGCCAGTCACTGCAACAGAGCACTCACAGCCTCTGCCTCCTTTTCTTCCGCATTGCAGGCCTCTGTGCTGCAGATCGTTAATTACCTGTTCAGAGTGTACTTGCTGTGCACGTGCTACGTAGCCTGCAGGTATGTGTTCCGGCTGATAAAAAGCACTACACAGGTTTCCAGTCACATATTCAATTCCTGTTTTTCATAAACCTAACTACATTGTTCATTTATCCAGCTTTACTATACTAGCCAATAGAATTTTTTTTTGTATTTTTCTGAGGGCAAAAGGATTTGTTGTGTAGTCACTGCTCATTCTCATATCTCTGATATGAAAAAAATCAAAGGAATGACCAGGGCATTTAAAAATACAACAAAAAAAATAGTTAAATATAAAAGAAGTCTTTTATAATGTATACAGACTACAGACCATATTAGTTTAACTATATATGTTCTGACTAAATGTTGTTGGCCACAAGGAATATGGAAACAGAAAGAACTGGCAACTGAGCTTTAGAAATCTCTAAAGTGTCTTAGCTTTATACGGACACTGCTGAGTGCAGTGTACCAGTATTGTGCTCTGTGGAAAGAGTTGCACAGCTAACCATGCGCAGTAAGAAGATACTGGATCACTTCTATAGATGTGTCACATTGATACTGTCCCAGTCCTTGGGAAAATGAGGGCTTTCTTTTTTCCTGGAAACTAATAGGTTCCTCCATAAGCTTGCAGAAAGAAATTGCATGGCCAGAGGAAAATGTCAGTTGAAGTTCTGCTTTTTCATGTTATTGAGAATGATGCTATCATTTGCGAATGGTAGATTTGACAATGCTGGAAACAGATGCATGTAGAGCAAAGTCAGTAAAGTTTCCCTACCTGATAGTGGTGGTTTGCCTCTTGGTTATTTTGGAACAATATTCTTTCACAGAAAAACAGAGTGCTGGGTTTGAATTATTCTGTCCAAGATAGCCAACCAACTCCTGACACATTTCTTGCCATCTCAGTTCATTTTAAATTTAATTAATTTTCAAATAAGCCACCAAGCACAGACCAATATAGAATAGATTTGATATATAGAATATAGACTCTGTATATAGTATATAGGCCACTCTTAGAAAAATTTGTCACAAGGATTTAAATTAAAATTCTCATTGTTCTCAAAAATGGCTTTTAATATAAATTACTACAGGTTTTTTTCCCTTTGTCTCTTATTCAACAAAAGAAAGTAGTGGGTGACTTGAAAAAAAGAGAAGTAAAGAAAATGGCATTTTTTTCCACTCAGTCCTAAGTCCCCATGTAGACTGGGTGTTTTCCAGTCTGGCCTCTGGTGGGAAACGGTTCCATCTCCATTTCCAGAGCATAATCTAATTTTGCTTCCTAAACTACATATTGTACCAACATTAGAATGCAGATGGAGATCATGGACTAGATGTGCTCTCTGAACCATGGTTATAAAACCTGACCAAGGTCCCCTTGCAGCTCACATGGTCATGTGGACAATGCATTCAACACATGTATTTCTCTAAAATTATTCTCCTTTTGTAAAGCAGCTTGGGAGAGTGAGTTTTTCTTTAACTGAAAGATAACCAGTGTTACTGCAAAACTAAAAAAAAGCTGGCCAGACTGGGGTCATTACTTTGTTTGTGTGGGCCTTTCTGCGTGTCGAGAATTATAACTTCTGACAATTCAGTTCGTATTTGTGTAAAGTTATTTCCTTTGGGAAATTAAATTGGGCAACAGACATTCATTTAACAAACCCTGGGTTGTCTGACAGCCAGCAAAGAGTGAGATGTTTAAATTGTCACCAGCCTAAGTTAGAGGTGTCTGTGTATGTTTGTTCAGATCTTTGATTGCCTTGTGACAGTCTGCTGAGTTGTATTTGTTGGTCTTACAGGGTGCCATTTTATAAACTGCTGGCAATGTTACTTCTGAAAATGTAGTTGATGTTGTCCTATATTTAATTTTCATGTATGAGAAAATTATCTTCTGATCTTTCTTCTAGATGTGTTCCCAGACATTTGGCAATCTTCTGAGTTTCCATATTGGAGCTGTCTTGTCCTGACTGTTCTTTGGGAATCAATGGAGTCTTTTCCCTGATACCCTTTTGTGTTGGGTAAGGACGCATCTAGAGTGCACTTTTATTCTCTGTGTCACTGAGTCTTACATCTGTTTTCCAAATCTCACCAGAAATTTCATCACTGTCTTGTGCCAGTGTAACTACAAATTGCCATAGTGAGTCAGTTGTCACCTGCAGAAGCAAAATTATTACATTCTCCTCCCAGCTGCAAGATGACTCCAAGCCAACACAAGGCACATGGTAAGAGTAACAGCAACTGCCTTTTTTTCATGTCAGGCCACTGTCAAATCACTATCAGCTTACTGTAAAATCAGTTTAATTATCTGTGAGATGTGTTTGGAGCAAGTTCTGTGAGCATGAATCAAGTACTTAGAGGTCTGATTCAATATTTTTTTGATTTTGAAATCCTAAATCTTCAAATTTACAAGTTTGTGCCTTTCAGCTTTGGGATACTTTTCCTTCCATTTTCCTTAGTCTTCCTCCTGAATTTTCTCAGACAT